CAGTATTTAGTTTAACAATAATTGAATGAAGACAAGAAATTCTTATTCGTTACGTAGCCACAACGGCTGCGTGTGTCTTTTCGCACTTCCAAATTGAATACTTTCAAAGGTTTCCAACAGTATTAGATCGAAAACATATGAGAAAGTTCTATTCGACAGGATCCGTATCTCGCGTACTCATCACATGAACGCTTGGGTCCATTTAAGATTTTAATGCGCAAGAAAAAGGGTTTTTTCGAAACGCCCCAACACTTTACGTATTAAATGTCTATCAGAACTAAATTATAACTCATACAGTTTATCGCATTCTACGCTCGAGCTCCTTTCATTTGATACCTATATATCGAAGGTATTTTTAAGAAAACATTTATCAACTGAATCGTGACGTCTACCTTAATTAATTTATAATTAACACACTTAGCTTAGCTACTCGCATTCTACTCACCAAGTCCTTTTATATGATACCCATATCGCTGGTATATCATTAAGAAAAAATGTATCCACCAGATCGTGGTTCGTTTTAGAATTAACCCATTTTCATTACGCCTTATGCCTTATGATAGATAGATGATAAATAGGCATAAAATTGTAAAAAAGTGCAAAAAAAAATAGAATTTAATAACTTAATAACCTTTGTGTGAGCATGGCCGATTCGTTCTATTTTTGCACCTAAAGAGTAGAGTGTTCGATAAGGTAAATATGGAAATTATCAGCCTTCTTAATTCTATAATCTCTGACTAACGAGCAAAAACTCGCAAATTTTTATTAAATTTGGCCCATTTTAAGTGTCAACCTGCGTGCAAGAACTTCCAATGTTGAAGTCTACCAAATTTGAAGTCGATATCTTCATTTTTGCGAACCAAGAAAATGCCAGCGACAAACACTATGCAGACACGCAGACGGACAGACGTGGCTTAATTAATTCAGATACGTAATGGATGCGTTGTCGGATTTGTGATGCATCCTTTTGGATGCATGCATTTTGAAAAAAAGGAAATTGAATACACCCCCACCACGGCTCAGTGGTGTGTATAAAAATTACAAAAAAGAGCAATAAATATTTTGGTTTGGTTTCTGCATTAAATCTTGTAAAGCTATTTGTCTTCAAGTGAATAGTGTTGCTTCGAAATTTCACAACCCTTTGGAAAAACTTACCCAAGAATCATTTTCAAGCTTATTCACGAATGCGTAAGTATGTACGTGCATGCATTTACAGCAAAAAAAAAAAAAAAAAAAAAAATTGTCATCATTGCTTATTTCAGATCCTAAAGACAATAAAAAGGAACAATATTTGAAAGGTGCACTAAAAGCTCTTGTAGTTGTGTAGGGACCATTCCTCAAGCCATCAAGCCATCATACTAAGTCTTGACACCATCAGCAACTATGTTCCGCAAGTGGCACAATTCGTTTTTGCGAAAATATACATCACGAACGCTTTGCGGCCAGTACATGAAAGCCAAGCATTAAAGTTCACACTAATCGATTCTATCTTGGCATTCTAATCTTGATGCGATGAATAATGCTTTTAAGAAAATCACACCATTTTCTAAACGTTCGATACAAATGTAGGAAAAATACCATAATGCGAACACCATCAAGTCGCTTTAATAGCAATAGGAAAGCACAGCGGGAAACAGGGTAGGAGGCAACAACGATTTTGGCCTCGTTATAACGTTGGATGTAAAGAGTATGTTTAAAATATTGGAAGGACGAATACGTGATTAATATTAATGCCGCAAATATAGCATCAGGTCATGAATGAAAGTTGGACTTCATTTTTTGATTCCATTATCTATAGAGTAGTAGTAGTTATAGACCAAGGTTGAATCTTTCGATTGCTTAAATATCGGATGAACACTGAAAGTAAGCTGATAGGCGTTAACACCGAGTAATACTTTTACGGCAGGATGGTGGAGATGGTTTAGATGAATTTAACTGTTACATCCAGCTGCTTACAATATTCGAAAACCCGGTATATAGTCGAAGGGAAATTGCGGTTACATGCAGCTGATGAATGTCCTCGACTTGTCAACCTGTTTGCTACATCACCGCTGCTAACGCAAATCTTTAAGAAGTGCTTGCAGCTATTGTTTCTAAGATAGAAATATTTGACGGTCATGCCACAAGACTGAAGGCCTACAAATATGATTGCATTTGTGCAGATTTAAAAGAATCTCATTTCGCGTTTTATTGGTTCCTTTTCTCTCCAAAACAAGAAGGCACAAAACACGCACGCACACAAGCAAGCAGATATTAATATTACTATTATATATTACGGCAACTCGAATGGACAAAATGTCAGTCTAATGCTTATTAATTTATGATAATATTTTCATTATCGTTATTTGCATTTAGTGGTGCGATTATAATTTTTTTTAATTTCTATGCCGTCTTCTATTAGTAGCTAAGGGTAAGTGCATTTTTTAAATCACTTTGTCTGGCCTTGACGTTTCTTAACATTTTGAAAACATTAGCATGAAGTTCTAAAGTCTGCTAAATACACTCTCTCTCTTTATTTTTAGCGATGATATTCGCGAAATGGCTCTGGGTGCGACGATATTATGTTGAATCCGTTAGTTTTTTCGATTTTTATAATTTGGCAAGAATTCCTTCACAATGTTCCGTTTTCAATCTAAAGATAAACGTATGAATAATTTATGGCACTGACAAGGTAAGGGCAACATAAAGAGTTATTAAGTAGTAACTGGCTAAAGCACGACTTAGCTCAGCTTGTCATTAAGATGCGAGATACTTCAATCGCTACATTCAGTTCAGCTCAGTTCAGTTCAGTTCAGTTCAGTTCTTGGAAAGCTCGCTATTAAAGATATATTTATTGTTATTGGCAAATGTCATAGGATCTAATTTTGAACGGCGCGTTCTAACAGATGAACGTCTGTCCTTTTTCTAATAACCCATCGCTTTGCATTTTATGGAGAAGGCAAGTTGTATGAGTGTGCGTGAGCGAATTAAATTCTTCGAAATAGTGCATTGAAATAAGCATCGAAAATTCCTTAGCCCAAACTTCTTGGTATATGTTCTATTGGAAACTAAAAAAAAATTATTGCATATCTGTTCAACACAAGCAAATCAACCCTTTGTACTCCTATGTCGACTATGTGTCGTTATATTGTACGACTATATTGTTCAGCACACATTATATTATTAATTATGAAATTATTAATTAAAGAGCTAATGGTAAGACATTTTATTAATAATAGTAATAATATAATAGTTAATAAGCACATATGATCACTAATTTCTTATGTATTTTAAATGTTTAGCTTTAAGCGAGCCTTAAAAATGTGATGTGACCTTAAGCATATACGTGACTAAAGTCCAAGTCCTATATACCTTTTCCCCTAACAACTCAGCGTGAATTATTCTCTAACGATTGCAACGAAATATGATAAAAAAAATAAGTATTGCGAGTAAAATAATTACTTCTCCACGTAGTTCCTGACAATTTGTATTTAAAATTTGCTTTTAAAGCTCTTCTACATAGATCTATTAAACTGCAGCTAGTTCTACAATTTATTTCGGATTATAATTAAATAATATCTTCAAGTAAATTTTTTTATATAATCTCTGTGGTTTTTCGCGTTCTGCTTTTTATTTTTAGCTGTTTTTTTATTTTTTTTATTTTATTTTATTTTATTTTTTTGATAAACAATACGTGCGGCCATCGAATATAAACACAAGGAAAATGTATGTAAGATGATGGAATAAGGGGGCCGGATGACCTTTTAATTATATTTTGTGCTTCGTTTATAACAGACATTATTAAGTAAGATTAATTTTCTATCTATTATCTCGACTGAAATTGTATCCTGTTGGCCGCGACGGACCCGCTACCCAAGCCTAACTTATTACCAACAGATAAATCTAAGTTAAGCTAAGTTAAGACTGATTTATACTAATAGATAAATCTAAGCTAGACTATGAACTGTAGAAATTATGTATACGAATAGCAGTTAAAGCACATTTCATAGAAAGTGAGTTCATTAATTTGATGGATGTATGAATGTATGTGTAATATATTGCAGTGTAATCTTTTCTTTTGTAATATGAATAATCTTTTCTATCGCGTTTCTTTGCCAGAAAAAATCAAACAACAACAACACAATAATAATAATAATAATAATAATAACATATACATTCGTATGCGTTTGTATAGACAGATATTCATAACTATACATGTAATCATATTGCATATGCATTAAAAGCAAATTGTTTGCAATATAGTTGCTTATGAATAAGAAAAATACAAGTACGTGATCGTCTATAAAAAAAAAAAAAAAAAAACAATTTACAAAACGATAACAATAATATTTGCAATAAACATACACACATAACGAGAGAACGCTTTTAAATTAAGTAAATAACAACAAGAAAAGAAACGATTGAAAACTCAATTAAAGTCATATAACGAAACCAGTGATCGATAGAATGTGCCATAGTTACGATTGAAGTGAAGAAAAGCATTCCCTACACAATCGAATTTCAACTTTAAATTTAAATATCTTAATCGGGATGCGACACTTTACTGTCTTCCGATGATTTGACAAAATTTGAGTTACGGACTTACGCCTGCCTTCCCGATTTTACCTTTATAACTTATCATTAATTTAACTTATTGAACTAATTAGAAAATTTCAAGAATGTGCTTTCTTTATATACATATTACCCTTAAAATCATGCGGATGACAGCATATGTGAAACCGGAAATCGGCAACGACAAAAAAATTTGCAAACCGGTGTTTGTTCATAAGTTAATACAAACGAAATCAAATTTTGTAATGTTACACTAATAAACACTAATGTATATAAACAAAAAAACACCTTTAACGCAGCCTTCGCAGCCGCAGATTGCCATACATTCTATAGGCGTAGGCAATAAACTTGACACTGAGAGTTTACTTGAAAACTACATTCATATACATATACGTTATACAATGTTTGTTTTATGTCTTTTAATAAAGAATTAAACGTTTTTCACTGACCTGTGTTTTTGTGACGACTTGCCATAAGCGATAATCCATAAGGCCGCGGAAACACCAGTTAGGCCGATTATAACATTTTGATTTTCGCGCAATCTACTTAGTGCCGGCGCCATTACGTGTTTATAAATCTATATGCGATTAATCGATATTTTTGTAATACGAAAACGAACGGAAGCCGTTGCCGTATATATCTTTTATTATTGAATTCCTTAAAAAGTAAAATGGAAATTTTTCTTGCACAATTATTCGGGAAAAAGACTTAATTGCTTGCCTTTTTTTGCCGACTTTTTTTGGCACTTTTCTCTGTACTTTGTATTTTACACCTTTCTAATATACACTCTTTTTTCTTCTCTTTCTTGTTGTTGTTTGATGATTTATTGACCCGTAATTTTGTAGTTAAAATTTTGTTTTTTTTTTCCTTTTTTGTTAATATAGAACTCGAACTTTCACGTTTTTTTTTTTTAAATTGTCTTTTCTTTACTAATTCGTTTGTCGCAGCCAGCAATACATTATGTTTTTATTTGACCGCGGCACAAAACTCATCTGATTTTGCATTTTTACTTTTTGCTTGAGTAGCGAGGTTTCGTTGTTTTGTATTTTTGCTACTGTAAAGATTGGAACAAAGAAAGCTTTACAAAGCCAGAAAGCTTGAAATGAAATACAACTTTTTAAATAAAGAAAGCATTCACGTCACATATGACTATGAAGAATATATGTAGAGAACAAGTATTTATTAGGAAGTTGTATTAAGATAAGATCATAGATTACAGATTGTTTTTCTTACGTGAGATCATGTCTATCTAGATATGCGAATAAAAACAAACAAATTATATGAAGCTATCTTTCAATTCACAACTCTTTCAATTAAACATTATATTTAATAATATATAATATGTGTTATTAAACACAAAAGTAGGCATTTGAGTATAAAAAAAATCCCGCACTCCTTTAGTTCTTCTTTTTCTTTTTTAACAATTTTATAATGCAAAAGAGGCTATGAAAATACCTACATACTAACTACAAATTAAACTAGTTTTTAATTTCAAAAATATATTCAATTGCTGTTATAGTTTTTCTTCAAACAAAAATATTTATAGTGAATGTTGAATTTCTCAGTATTTCAAAATGTCAATTATGACTACCCTAAGTTAATAGGTGTGAATTGTCGTCGTAGTCTGATGAACTGCTTCAAACATGCCTTTCGTAAACCTTACTATCCAGAGAAGATAGTAACCCTCTTCCGTTTCGTTCTTCCTCAAATTTACATTTTGAAGCCATAATTAGGGTTCCATGCAAGAATTTTCTATTTCGAAAAATTAAAAAAAAATATCACTTTTCACAACGTATTTGGTTTCGGGGGTAAACTTCAGTTGCGATATTACATCGCAATGGCCTTGATTGGCGGTTCAGTTTCAGAATCAATAATTTTTAACTCAAGTTCGATTGGTATATTGGAATGTCAAATACAAAACTAAGCATGAATTCGATATATATAAATGTGCGCTCTTTATAAATAACGAAAGGTAACTCTGTCCATATACTAACATGCCTGTGTTTGAAACATGAACAGTAGGTAACCAACTAAAACATCATCGAGCAGACGCCATATTGATTTTCACAAGAAAATTCTTACTTAACTCAGCCGACCGCATTAGATCGTGACATATTCAGTCGCTGCTTTATTAAGGAAGAAAAAAAATTTGTTCTTAAGGAATAAAAGGTATGAAATTGACTAAAAGGTATTTAAAAACCTATTTTAAAGTAAAGAATAATTCTGTAAATTTGTGTGTGGTAAAAAGGAAAAATTAAGCGAAAACTTCATGGCACGGCTGGTGGGTTGGCGTAGCGCCGTACTAAAGACGAACCGACGACATAAGAGCGAAAGAAAAGAAAATTACATAACGAGAATTTTCCTTTATGATTTTTAGGGAAAAATTTCGTCTTATACACAAATAATTGCAAATGATTGCAATGTTTCGTAAAGCAATTTTATGTATTTATTACATTTTAACAACTTTTCCATATATAAAAACAGAAAAACTATGCACAGTAATTTTTATTGGGAAAAAGCAAAAAATATTCATGCCTTCAAGTTCATTTTTCACACAGGACTTAACTATAAAATTCTACGAAAAATATACAAAAACATAGGACACCCATCTATCACTCAAGATACGACAGAAGGCAAGTGGATTTCTAAGCATTCCAAGGAATACTACGTTAATTGGACTGTTATAAGCAGATACAACAGCTGCTCGCTTTCTGCCCATGCTGAAGACGGCTGACAGCTATTGCAAACAAACAAGTAATGTCTATTTATTACTCTATTGCTCTATATATGCATATTTCATTTATCTTATAAAGAAAGAAGATTGAAAATGAAAAACGAAAATATTTTCTTGTTGCGAAATCGGTGAAAATTTTTTAAGAATAAGTAAATACAGTTTTGAGATTTTCAAACAAGAAAATATTGAATATGAAAATATGAAGGAGAAAAAACCAAAAAAAAAAAAAATAAAAAATAGAGACCATGTAAAAACATAGGTATAGAAATTGTGATGAGTCTGCAACAACAACAAATTCTAATTACGAGGATAATAGTTTGATTTGCAGATCCTGTGTGTGAAGCCCGAAAACAGCAAATCTATAAATAGGACATTGAGAAAACGATAAAATGCCCAATAACCGCATGAGAAGCGACGATTTTGATATAGAATCTGCAGACCGTTCGGGTCGAATGGAAAGACGACGTTCAAATCATAACGTTAAATCATACAAACGCTCTTATCGTAATGACAGTCGCTCAAGAAGTCGTTCTGTAGAGCGACACAGACGTCGACAGCATCGCGGCGCGTTTTCGCGTAGCCGCAGTCGTAGTCGGAGCCGCGGTGGGTATAGCTCACGCCACGATAGACGTCAATCTTTCCGGCGACACCGCGATTCGCGTACAAGATCACGTAGTCGTTCGCGATCACATAGACGTTATCAACGCGAGATGGATGATTTGAGCAGACGTCGGTCTTGTTCACGCAGCTCTTCGCAGCTAGATGATGATCGTTGTCGGAGTAGCAAAAAAGAGTGTCGTAGCAGCAATAAAATCCAAAACTCTGATTTGCATACGCATTCTAAGCCATGTAGTTTAACTAACATAGCAGAAGACACTAGAGACGACACAGGTCAACACACGAATGATTTGAATGAATTACCTTTACCAGAACGATCGTGTAGTAGTACGGAAAGTTATCAAGAGAATAGCTACTATAATTTTGATACAGATGAACCGATTGACAAGGAGCGTATACATCGAGAAATGGAGGAGAAGTTAAGGCAAACTTTGGCGAAAGAGGGTAAAGTGTATCCACCCCCTAAGCCGGAAGCTTCACATCCAGTATTTGCCAATGATGGCTCTTTTTTGGAAATATTTAAAAAAATGCAAGAGCAACAAAAACAACAAGCTTCCACTTCAGCAGTAGCAGCTAATGTAGTACCCGTTGTCCCAGTGTTAGCTGTCGCTAATCCCACAACAGTTCCCTATTTAGCGGCTACAGCCATGGGTAAAAGTGCACCACCTCCTCCCATAGTGGGACGCCGTCGTGGCGGCAAAATTCTAAAAACAGGTGTAGTAGCAAAACCGAAAGTTCAGAATGAGCCAGCGAACGATCCCAAAGACTTTTGGTCACTTTACTTGGCTGAAGTAAACAAATACAAAAACACAGCCTGCGAATCGGAGGCTGGTAATAGGCCATTGGTTAAGTAAACTTCAAATATCGGAGAAGTTACGCGCGGCGTCAAGAAAACGCGTTTGGAGACCAATGAACTTGAAGCAAAAAATGAATTTTTTTTATTCAACCTTTTACAACATTTCAGCAGAAGCTGAAAACTGTGCATATTTTTTCTTTTTTTTTTTTCATAAGTTGGTATTGACCTCTCCTAAATCGTGAGAGGTGGGGAAGCCATTAACGATAAAAAGAAACTGAATCGTATTGAAAATTATGTATTTATCAAGATTTTAGTAAAAAGGGAAATTATTAAATTTTCTTAACGCACTAAACTGAAGAAAATTAGTACTAATGCAATTTTTGTCTGTAGTTAAGGTATACATGCAGTTACATTTACGTCTTTATTGTTTCGTGGGCATTAGCGATATAAGTCCGCATGATTTCATTATGTTTCAATTACATCAGGATGTTAATTGTCATAATTTCATTGTAAATAATTTGTTGCAAATGGTTAATGGAAAGAAGGAACGATAGATCAAATTTGTGAGTTCTGTATTAAGGGGCGGCGACTGACCATTTGCTGTGTGCTTAGATATGCAATAATAATAATATCAAATAATTCTTTCAATTAAAACATAACCTTAAAATTTCATTTCTCTTTATTATATTTTACAGATGTTTTTATTTAATAATATAATTTTTGGCCCCTTTTTAATTAGTTTGCTAAATATAACTAATTGAATATTATTATTATCTAATAAATTCTTTTTTTATGCATTCTTTCTGTTTATCCATCTTCGAAACGCTCGCAATTACGGATATGATTGTGTAAATGACTGTTTGTATGTGTGCTATTGTTGTGTGTGTGTTATAACATTCATGCTATTCCTAATTCATGTGCTAAGCCATAACATTCCCAAAAACATTCTACTAGTATTATAACAAAAAGAGTTGTTCTCTCTTCTGATTTCAATGGCAAAAAAAGGCGAGAAAAAAAAGGAGAACCCAGGACCTGCAGAAATGACTGTTAAACTAGAAACTGCTCCTTTCGATCCACGTTTCCCCAATCAGAATCAGACCCGTTACTGCTATCAGTCGTACGTGGATTTCCATCGTTGCCAGAAAAAACGTGGTGAGAGCTATGAGCCATGCAACTACTTTAAGAAAGTCTTTAAATCGATGTGCCCTAACGCCTGGGTGGAGAAGTGGAATGAACAAATTGAAAACGGCACCTTTGCTGGTCGAATTTAAATTTTCACCATGAGGCACTTTAATTAATATCCGAAAAACTTTATTATCTAAAAATTGTTGTGCTACAGCCATCTTAATCAACATTTACTAGAAATTGAATAAAAATTCTAAACTTAAATCTTAATAATAAATTTATTTTTACAATTAAAAAAAGTTTCAAGTAGGCGTTGCAATTAATTTTCTTGCAAATTATATTAAAATCATCTTGCGAGATCTTGCCAGAGAAATAAGATAATATGAAAGCGAGATCACTTCTCTTTACAGATCGGTGCGATAGACTCTATGATTATATAGATGATGCATTGCTCTCTCACTAAATGAAATATAGCTTAAAGGCGAATATCGCACAAAGTAAATATGGAAATATGTAGTGTATCTAGAAGGTGAATCGGAAGTCGAAAGTGTAAAGACAATAACAATATAAGAGATTTGAGACATAACAAACTTACTAGGAAATCACCTTAAAGAAGTAGTAGAGTGAAAACATAGAGAATGAGAATTATATATAGAAAGTGTAATTAATCCGTTAAAGGAGGAATTCTTAGCACTTGCAAAATTTGACCAGTTTTCACGGTGCTTCTGTTCATGTTTATATATATGGAACTTGAGTATTTTGTTGTATTTGCTATTGATAACTATTGTACATATGTATAAATTCCACCATCAAAGGGAAATAAATATAAACTAGCATCTTTCATGTCGACCGGCTCGGATATTCTTTGTAAACCAACGACATTACAAATGCACAGAACTCATTTGAAGTGCTTTCTGAGATTTATTCTTAGGACGGAGGGATGGATAGATTAAATCTTATTCTTGACATGAGTCTTCTAGAAAATCGGCATAAATAATCATTCGTTTTATTGCTTGCTGCACTCTCATCCGTAAACTAAATTTTTTTGAAAGTACTCTTTTGCACGGTAAGCACAATCGTTGTTTAGAAATAGAGCTTTCTCAGCTCTTTGATATTTTTCTGACGAAAGAACGTTGAAATGTATTTCGAAAATGTGCTTTTCGCCATAAATTTTTTTTTATTCAACGATTTCTTCTTTTATTGAATAGTTTGTACACTTAGTCTTTATAAATATATATATATACACACAAATATACAAATCTAGCAACTACTATAGTAAACCAACCAATTCAAACAAATGGTGGCAAAGAAAGCTACCGAATATACTTAGTAAAGCATAAAGACCAACACAACTCTCCCATATTCTTCTTATGAAGAATGAATGGTTGGGCGTGTGTTGCTGTCCGTTAATCGCAGGATCCATCTAGCCAACCGTCTCTCCATCGTTCATTTATTTTGCCACAATCGAAAAGAGGTTTACCTAACTTTTTATTAACGCGGTTATGAAAGTTGCACAACCATATGGAAAATTCCTTTTGTGAGTTTACTTTAACTGGATTGTCACGTAAACTAGAAAGAAACCATATTTCATAAAACTCATCTATTGCGTCATAATAAAGATTTCCTACACATATATGTGTACATACGTGAACTTACTCTTTTTGAAAATCTCTAGCACAATACTCGCAGGGGTATACTCTTGCAAAGACATCGAAAAAGCTTTTCATATCTTTTTTCTCCGAATCGGTCGGGTTGTCTGTATAAAAAGCGGCCATAGTGTGCAAGAGGCCCCAGGTGAAACGGCCCAATTTATTTTTATCTAATGGACAATCTTCTCTTTCGTAGTCATTCGTGTCATTGCGATTGCCGCCACCGCTTGTATCGTTAACTTTAGCTGGATCTTTTGCCTGCAATGATGGTGGTATATAGAAAACTCAAGTCGTTCTGTATGTACGAATATGCTTTTGTAGGCTGACTACTTACATCGTCGGCTTTGTGAAATATCTGCCTCTGCTGTTTCGACCAGAATTTAAAATCTGTGCAGGTTCGACAATTATTGTTTGGCTTGGTTGGCGTACCATAGATATCGTAATTTGACATAATGTATTTGATAAAACAAACTAATGCAAAAAAATAAGTGTTGTCGCAATTCACGTTTTAATATTGACAATTTTTATAAATTCTAAAATTTTCCCGTTCAACGAAAGCCAAAATTTTCTTATGGGTGAGACAAGTTGTCAAAACGATTCATCGCTGCCAGATCAAGAATAAATTTGTGATACAGCTGTTTATAGTTTCACGGGGCTGACACAATGAGGCGTTGTTTCGTTTTCGGGTTAAAAACTCCCAAGTGGCAAACAAAATGGGCAGCTGCGCTACCATATTGTTTACAAGAAAATGTAAACAAAAACCTACGGCTTTAGAGCTAAACATAAAGAAATCAACGTAAACGTAAACAACAAATTTATTTATAATTCTCAGGGATCTGACATAATGAATTATTTTCGAGGATTTGATCTCAAATTTGCCGACTTTATGGGAATTGAGATAACATATCGTTCTGCATATATACACACAAATTAAAAAAAAAAAAAAAACAACACAAGAAGCAGTAATCGCTTCTTTTAAGTGTTGGTCAATTTATATTTATCTTACACTGTTGCACTTCTTTTCTTATATTATGTGATTTGCAATTTCGTGCTATACGATGCCTTATTTTGTGATAAATGAAAAACAAGCGATAAAGACCATTTATTTTAAAGTTGAAATATATTCATCAAATTTACTAGAGAGTAATAAATGATAATTTTCACAAAGCTTCACAAAAATGTTAACAAAATAATATCCCGCATTGCAAAACTTCAGGCTAACGAACAAAATTCAAGACTAAGAACTATAAATACTTTGTTTATGTTTACGTTGATTTCTTTATTTTTGATTATATAACCACTTGTATTTTTCCTGCAAAACAATGCGGCAAAGCGGCTGCCGCTTGTGCTTACCATTTGGAAGTTATAACCCGAAAACGAAAATAACGTCTCATTGTGTTAGCACCCTAAGAGTGTGACTGAATTAAATTGTAGCATATATATAAAAACGGAGGTGTTATAAAAGACTAAGCTTGCTTAAAAACTGTGATAAGTAAAAGATATATCTGTTCGAAAACTTGTTCTATGCGAGATAGAAAAACGGGTGTTCACTATCAGCAACGAATTCCGCAATTAATGGACTAAAAGCGCACGAGCATTGTAAGAATGAAAGTCGCTAAACTGGTTTTGACCTTACACGTAATTTAAAGTTATCTACATGTAATTGGCATAGATTCTTTATTACTTATTTTATGATTTTTTTTGTAAGTAGGTTGTTAATCTATTATCGAAAAAATGTTGTAAATTATAAGAAATCGGACGAAAGAAAACATCACATTCCACAACTAACTTCGAATGTGATCAACTGACCGATTGGCAACGAATATTTGATTTCGAGCAGAGATGTAGAAGGAAAGTTGAATGAGTTGAATGAGTGTCCTCTCTGTTCGTCGTTGGACCGTCTCCATACCACCGACCGTAAGAAAATTCTTTACTATCGCCAAGCGGACCGCCTGATGAGGAGCACATTGGGTTTAGTTCGTTTGCTGGCTATATATATATAAGTTTGCAAATTTAATTGCAATGAAAACTTTTATTTTTTGTTAAACCACTAGGTCAATATACTAAATATAGTCTTATTAATTGAGTGGTTGTATGGTTGACATTAGCATTAAAATCGGAGGAAAGCATTAATTAAGAAACTATTACAATAAAGGATTGGATTGTTAAGTTTAATGAAAATATCAGGATTTCTTTCATTGTTTTCGGAACTTAAAGATTTGCTGCCGAATAGGATAGTCGCTTAGGCAAATCCGGGTAATAAATGATAATAAATAATCTTTCCCTAAAAGTAAAATTTTTCAAACGTGATAGTGTATATCAAAAAAAAAAAAAATTAAACTGTGTTTTCCAGGTGTAATTTTGCGATTGTTGCGCAAGAGGACTTGACCATTGAAGTAAATAAATAAAGACTAGTATGACCTGATAATTTTAAGCTTTTCTTCTTTGGCAGATAGTACGTTATGCAATAATTTATGGGTATTTTATATATGCGCATTTACACAAACAACTTCACACGGCTTCACAAAAATGTTATTCATTCGATTTAAATTTGAAGTAAATGAGAAATGACAAAAGTTAGAAAAAAGCCTGAGAAGAAGGGTTCTTCTTCATTTTGATCTAAAATCTTTATTTAAATATCAGGTAAATATTGAGCTTAAACAATTGCAATGCAAAATGATAGATATCTTCAAATGAATTCTGCTTTTCCGGATTAATCTAAACTAATCTGGCTGTCCATCTATGCATTTGATGTCTGCCCATGCTAGATTGTGTTGAACATTTATGTGGCAATTTTTAAGATATTTCACGAAATTAGTTAAATCGTCCGCTATAGGCATCGATGGAATCTCTGTTAAGCTTATTAAACTTATATTGTTATTTATATCCCATCATCTATTACTGTTCGTAAATACTAGCCTCAGTACCTCGCAGTTTTCTCAGGATTGGAAAATAGCCAAAATTAAGCCAATACGGAAACATGTAAACTCTTTTGCCTTGGATAATTTAAGAGCTATCTAGTATTCAGCCACACTTTTCTAAAATTGTAGAAGATATCACCGAGCAATTTTTTCCATTTTTGTACAGGTACTACAGCATCGCTCATAGAATACGTTTTCAAATTTTTGGACATTTATCTGGTAAAGTTTATGAGTAATGAGGACAGAACCAATTTTCTACTAAAACTGTTCTCAGTTCAGGTGGCACAGCGTGCGTGTGCATCGACCGATTTGGTTCATTTTTAATACCAACCTGCGGGCAATAACAGTTCCAATGTTCCAATTTTTGCAGACAGAAGAATGCTTACGCCAGACATTACGCAGACGGACATGCTCAAATCAATTCAGACTTTAATGCTGATCACGAACATATATATACTTGGTTGGGTCTCTGAAGCTTTCCTCTGGTCAAAGGTTTTGACAACAACATTGCGCTCTTAATCCTTCGGTGAGGGGTATAGAAAGAATAGTTTGCATTACGGATTAGCTTGAGGAATTCCTGAATCAGCCATTATTACGCTAAGCAGACATTTCCAATTAAAACACAACATTTTCCTGCTGTATAAATAAGACGGAAGCTATTTTGCTAGGGATTTATGAACACCGAGACCGATCAATTTCCTAATTAGTATTGTATGATCAATTCTATTACACGAAAATCAATATAGGCGTCTGCCCTCGTATAAACGATAAATGTAAAAGACAGTTCGGATACAAGACGGTTCAAAATTTGTGATAATTAAAGCACGATCTAAAAAAATCGAATATGTAGGAAATTGCGTCAGATAACTTTGTTATGTAATGGAGAAATGAGTAGTAAAGAGGCGTTTCACGCAACTTCGAGAAAAACAAAATATGATTATTATTCTTTGAATATATAATATTTTTAATTTTTGTATATTATCATATTGTTGAGTGGCATATTTTCCCTTTTAATAAAAGCTTAAAGTGGAACTTTAGTAAAATTTACACCTTAAGAGAGGGTGTCGATAGAACCCGGTACACATTGCCTTGATTTATATTATATGTTAGCGTAACGCGGTTTATTCAGTACAATAACTTAACTTAAATAAGTGAAAATGTTTTGAATTAATTGGTTTCGATAAAGCATGCTACGAATTATTATAGAAGGAGCGAATACAAAATTGATTGGAAGGGTTTAATTTCACGGTGTTATTACGTCCCGGAACGAAATCGATAAATAATCTTTAAAATAAGGTCATCGATAATTTGGTCCGGCCTAGCAATTTAAGTATAACTGAAATTTTATATGCGGGACGCCTTTATAGATGAGAAAAACCTATGAGGTTTCGAAACCTCTTTTTTCAGTGAATTTGCGCAGCTTTTTTCTACTTCTTCGTCTTCATTTGACATTTCGATTTTCTTGCCTGTGAATTTGTTAGATACGCTTCAACTGTTACGGCGACAACAAATAAATAGTGTGGGTAGACACTTCCTGCATTATACAAATAAACTTGAATTCCGTAGCATTTTACCGTCTGCTGGATATAAGCGATATCCGATGTTCGCGTTTAATGGTTCATTTCGTTTTATTTGAAAGTAACTACTTGATAATAACGGTAAACTTGTAACGGCAATCGAACGGGCAGTAATTATATGAAACAACGGTGGTAGATGCGGCTCTCTAAGATTTGTCCTCTTGTTTTGAGTAAAACTATGTAAATACGTTTTTCGTTTCGGCCAGCCAATCATGTTTTCCGTACGTGTCGGCGCGATGATGGTCACAAAAGAGTATAGCTAGGGAAGGATGAAAAACAAAAGAAGTATTTGTGTACGTTCGACTTGGAAGTGAAAGCGTCTGGAACGGTGGTAGAGCATGCCAAAGGCGCTAAGTGCTCGTCTTTGGAGAACAACGAATCACGGCGATGTATCGTCGGTATGCGAGCACGTCCGGAGAGAGTGGGTGAGAACGTTGAGGAAACCGGCAAATCCTATTAAATGGCTTGAATGCTCGATAAGTCTCTTTTATCTCCGTGGAACATTTGCCATGCCCAAGAGCATCGAGAGCTCGTCACTTGAAAGGGGAAGCATGACCTCCGTAATTGTCACCTCAATAAGCCACCTTAGCAGGTTTATTTTTACTACTACTGCTAGGTACTGGGAGCAGGGAGCTACTGGGGCGTGCTGACTGAGTGTTGTAAACACTCCAAGGCGAATTGTAACTTCTAACAGTATACTTTGGATACAACCATTGAGTTTAGACCGCATTTATTATTTGACTTTCCTATGTTAGGTCAACATTTTCCGCAATCTCTCTGCGTGAAGTCACGAACCAAAATATATTGGAAGTGGACCGAATTTTTTATAAGAATTCTATGCACGCACTAGTAATGTGATAACCTAGTAACAAGAGATACTATGACTGCGTTCGCTTTTGGTCGAACATTGCGGCATCCATTGCGTTTTTTACCCTTTATTTCTATTTTGTGGCAGGGCCCTTTTTCGATATTTATTGAAGAAATTCTTATGCCAAACGCCATACGTAAAACAAGTTGTGTTTTAAAAGTTGTTAAACGAACTTACACAAACATGTATGTTAAGCTAAAAAAGTTTCCTTTTTATTTATTTTATTACTTTATAGATTCTTAACATTTCTAAAATGTTCGTGTATTGTGCATTTTGCGTTGACCGTCTAACAGCCGTACAAGCGTGGCAAGGTGTAGTGGAGGGCAGCTGCAACTTCTATAACAATTGCTAAAAAAAAGAAGAATATAAGGAGAATGGGGCAAAAAGGAAGAAAGAAAGACAGAGAGAAAGAGAGAGGGAGATGTTTATTAAAATTTCGCCTAAAAGCCCGAAGTGAAATCGTAAGGCGATAAAAAAGTAAAAGAAAAATTTTTCTACGTCTTGTACCGATTTTAAAATGCCAATCAATTATGTGCGCTTACCATCTAATACACAAACAAACAGATTTTGCGGAGGTGCGTGTAATATCATGAAAGTTGTTTTTTAAATGCTCTCCTCGTAAAGTTAGAAATATTGGAATAATACAGAGAAACTTGATTCCTTATTTATACAAACACATAGCCGATGTTAAACTGATTGTCCCTAGTTGTTCCTTCAGGATCAACATTGGGTCGCTCATTTTTTAGCTGTTTCATTTAGTCAAGTCTTTTCTCTGCCTTTTCCTTTTTTTTTTTTTTATCTAATACAAAGTAGTAGTAGTAGTATCTAGATATATGTTGCATTTATTTTAATTGAAAATTGCATAAAATTTCTTAATATTTCCTTAGAGGTTGAGTGTTGTTGGGCTTACAAAAAAAATATGTGTAGAATAATCTGCATTTAGGTTTAGGTCTTCACTTAATTTAATTAAACGAGTAGTAGTGTGTTATGTTTATTTATGTTATATTATGAGCGTTATCTATGTAGCGTTGCAAACGAATGATAACACTTAATATATTTATGCGATAATATAGGTAAGTATATCACCTGTAACACAGTAACGCATGCTTCAGTATTATGTATTATTTTAATATTACCTTAAATGAAATTCTCCTCGGTGGACTGTGATGTTAATCAGTACATGCTTATCATAAATAAGCGTAATCTTGAGTTTTACTATTAAAAAGCTCTCTACGGCACTCGAATAGCTTTTAAGGTTTCGTTAAAAAAGCTTTAGCCTGAATTGCAAAGAAAAAAAAAAAAAAAAGAAACGAAAGAAAAGCTCAAAAGAATTTCAACTTAATGTAAATGTTTTGAAAGTGAAATCAGTCCTCGCGAGCTTCTGTACGTGTTAACAACAGATTAAAAAGCTAATTGAGAATACGTTTCAAAATAAGGAAAACAAAAAACAAAAAAGAAAAATCTTTTGCTTTCCCAATCAAGACTTATTTCAACAAAGATTCATTCAATAATACATTAATGTTAAAAAAAAAAAAAAAAAAAAATTCATAAAAAATAATTCAAATACAAAAAAAAAAATTAATTAAATAAAATAAAGTTACTGCGTGTTAAATTATTTGAGCACAAAAACTCATATAATAAATTAATATCTTATATAAGTAGTACAACTGCTCTTAGTCTTTACTAACACCATCGCAGCTACTGCGGGTTGCGAAAAGCAAAAAGAATAAAAAAAAAAAAACACTAACTATTTGTCGTAGTCATCTAATGACAGCACAAGTACATGTGTTGTAATTGATCCAAGTCAACAGCAGCACTTCTTTCAACACTTAATAATGTGCTTTTTTATATTTTTATTTGATTTTTATATATCTTCTTTTCGATCCGCGACTTTAAAGACTTCGAAGGCTTTTCTCTTATCTTGAAGATTTAATGGAGTGGATATTTTGAAAGCCTAAGGTTAAAATGATGTCTTATAAGAAATTACGCACGGACCTGAATTTTATGTGAATTGCATTCGATTCGCGTACACTTTTTTCAAATATAAAAACAAAACAGTCTTCAGCGTCTTTAGAGTTAACAATAAATTTCCTCTTTTTGTTTTTTTTTTTTATTATTATTTGTTTTATGTATAATGTTTTGTTTGTACTTTCCAGCTTAACAACTTGCCAGCTCCTAATTTTCACTTGGGTGCAATTTTAATTAAATGAAAGATGCAAGTTGTAAAAGAGGGAAGATTAGAAGTTAGTTTAAAAAGTAAAATTAACGTGAAGTCAAATTTCAAATAAATAAATACAAGTAAGTGTAAGTGTAAATAGGAAACATTAATTAATTAATTTCTAATATAAAAATGCAATGACACTTCAATATCGGCCATCCTGAGCAAATATCGAGATCGTTTTAATTGAACGAATTTTCTGCTAAGATTTTACTGCTGTAGTCCGACAAAGATCGATACGAAACATGTATAGGTTGTTGGTTATTGAAACGCCATAACTATGTAATTTTGTTTTTTTTTTTTTTTTGTTATTCTAAATGTATCTGGGCGTAATGCGTGCCGTTAGTTAAGATAAATCCGTGGCCATTAAATATGAAGATATAAATCAAGGTCCTTTTAATTTGAGTTTTGTGATATTGAGAATTCCTATCACTAACGATCATTGTGCGAACGGACAGTTGAGTACACATGTCTAAATCGATACCGGGTCTTTCACTGATCAAAAATGGACCTGGACTTTTTTGAGACGATGGGTATAAACATTGGACAGAAAAAGTAACAATCAAGTGACTTTCATACAGTTTGATATAGTGAATGCGTGAATGTGAATGTGGTTAAGCGAAAATTTGCATTCCATTTCAGTCTATCAACTAAAAGAATTATTAAACGATTTTAATGCAAATGTGACAATCATTAAAATTTAAATGAAAAATAGTCGTGATATGTCGAATTTAAGAATTTAATAATGAATGAATGAATGAATGAATGAATGAATGAATGAATCGTCAACGTATTCATAGCTAAGCATATCTGGTGCGTAATTTAATGTAATTTAGCGTAAAATGCTGACGAGAAAAATAATAAAAATGCAACAGCAAGAAAAACAACAACAATAAAATATAACAAAAAAAAAAAAAAAAAAACAAAACAATAAAAAAAATTTCAGACATACTTTGACGCTACGTTTCACAGGTAACTTATGAATTTTAATCAAAATAAAAACGTAAAGGGATCAGTGGAGCAAACAAGGATTACGAGAATGATTTCTTAAGAACGTATTCAGTGGTTCATTGCTCTTAAGTCCGATTTAAAGGTACATTTTCGGCCAATTAACAAGGCCCGTTTTAAACTGGCCTTGTTTTGTTGGACTCACCCTGTATCGATCTATGTACGTTTTAAATAATGTTACGAGAAAGTTCGGGTACAATTAACTTATCCATGTATTGATTTATTTCCCTAACTAGATCATCTGCGCGTACATTAGTACACGCATTACTACTGTGTTCATTTCGCTTATCTTTCTTTCAATAAAATTCGATGTGTATCGAAGTGGGAAACTTAGTCTCCTGCCCAGAGAGGTAGGTAGTTTTCAAGGCAAGCCTTTTTCTCTCTACTTCTGAACACAAGTTCGAAAAAGAATTCATTACCTGAAAGGGTTTTCTTCCTTAAAGTTTCGAACTCTTCTCCCAGCGTCTCAAAAACGTTGGGAAGTTATAGCCTAATGTCTTTTAACTGTCGATTCCGAGCTTCGCTAGCCTCGCCAAAGGAACCGTTTATAGGCATTTTAAAGAATTTACGCATAAAAATACCTTAGTGGAGCGTCATCGAGACGCTATGGATGTAAGGCTGTGAGCGATTCGAACGGACCGACATTTTTCGTATTAATTATAAATTTGTCCGTTTTCTCTGTCATTTCGTTACAACTAATGAGTAAAACGTGCGATAACATCTTTGACACAAGTTGAAAAAGCGGTAAAGCCTAGCGAAACTCCTTTAAAGCCAGCGAACATATGTCACAATTTTCATGTCACAACTTTAAAAGCTTTTTCCACGAAAAGCCATTTTTGAAAGGCGCAAGCAAAGAACTTTCTTCCTTCCTTTAGGCAATTTCACGCAATGAGTGAATAGGTGGAGGAGAGCACACAAGATTGAATATTTTTTGCCGAATATTGAACGGGTTAAAGTAGAAAAATCAAATTCTCAATCTTTTAAAAATCAATATTTTTGAGATTCGCCTCTGCTTCACTAGATGCGGACAAAGCGGAACCAAAGCAAACATCCTACAAATTAAACATGGCCCGTGAAGGTCTTGGTGTTGCAATTTTCAATTTTATATTCGAGAAAGAGCCTTCTTCTAATACTTAAATAAACGGTGTTCATGAGCTCCTCGAATATTATTACTCTATTGCCTTTCCGTTCATCCAAACAATGTCTGTAAAAAAAGGCTTTTTTGAAGGCTTTTAGAGCGGCGTTACTCCTTCAAACCAAATCGGAAATCTACCGTTATTTAAGAATAGTTTGTTCGCAATACTCATCCTTCATATACCATATTGACTGGAGTTTTTAACTTTTTTAAGTACTTTGAAGTATTTTTAGTGTTGCAGCTGGTATGGACGTCTTCACGGTCAATTTTAGAACAAGAATGTAAAAGACTTACTCTTTATTAATTGGAATATTGTAAAGCTGGTGTCGACAGGGGATTACCTGAAATTTGTATTCGAGTATTTTAATATTGCAGCACCGGTCTTGAAGGGAATCGTCAAACGATCAATTGTAGCTGATACCTAACTATTGCACCCATTTGCCAAAAAGATCTATAGATGATAATATAAATTTCCACAAGCTATTGGTCGGGTTCTGCATGTACGCTGTCCTCATAAGGGGAAGCCACTATAAATTTTCCGAATTTATGTTTTTTTCATTAGCCTAATAAATGCTTGCAACCATCTAGGATCGATGGAAAATTTTTGATTACCAGGGGAGAGTCTTTTTTTCTAAATCTCCTTTCTAGTTCTCCTCAAGCGTTTCGAAAATATGCTCTTCTTTAAATGAACTGCTATTAGAGAGTTATTGCTCAAGGTTTTTCATTTGATGGTCTCTAAGATCCGTTTAAAGGCATTTTAAAGCCGTCGTCATTACAACGACCGTTAATTAGATATAAGGGTGCGAGCGATTCAATTGATTTAAATGCTTCTGCCGAAAAAAAATTAAAAGTTTGGAATAAATTTGATCATGTTGACTATGAATTTAGCTTGGCCTTGATAGTTAAATTCCCCCTTTTTTTTTAATTCAAATTTGCTTGCCCTAACGCTTCTTAATTTAAAGATGGCTTACGAGAACGTCCTCGGTATTTCAAACAATAATTTCATTTGATTTACTTAAATATATATTCGCTAACATCTTAGAATATTATTATTGTTGTAGCACTTTTCTCTACATTCCGAAAATGTTATCACGAAACTTTCTTCTTCAGACTGTTATAACGGCTTCCCCCTATGCGAAGAGCAAGATACATGGACTAGGATTTTGGATGAGAGAAGACGCTTCAATATATTGAAAACGAATTATTTAAAAACATTTATTTCACTGTAAAAATGGTTCTACGAAACTGACAAGAGTACAAGAGTACAAGAGTGCAAGAGTTAAGTTCAGGTGGATGTTAGAAACATTCAGAAGGATTTGAGATGGACCTACCTTTTATCATACCAATCGGTGCAGAATCACTTTCTCAATCAATTCAAGCTTGTCTATCCGTCGGTCCATCTTGTTTTTTTTTTGTTACGTTCAACCTAGAGGCCTTAATCTTTTCTATCGAAAGTCGTTCGATTTCTTTGCCCACTTTCCATATATCATTTTATTTTGAAAAGTCGTGTTATGGTCGAGCACTTCAGCAGATAGATGATAAGCCTTAGTTGTTTATTACAAGCTTGTCGATTGACAAAAGGAGAGACAGACGTACCGGAATTAATTTATATTCCTTTCCTTTAATTTTCTTATTTCCATGTCCATGTCCATAGAAACCGTTAAACTAGTGACAAGGTGTGATGAATAATTATTCGAGAAATTAATAATTCCCTGGCAAAAGAGCTTTAAACGCGCCTTCAATTGGTTTTGTGCGTGCATTAAAATCTAGGTAAAAGTATTTTATAGTATATCTAGGTCCATTGATGGTTAGAAAGTGATTTAAGCAAGTTAGTTATTCAATTTTTATAGTCATAAGCATAAGTGGTTCTATTTGAATTAAGAAACCCATAGCTCATGTCGCTGCACGCGACCGTTTCTTCCGATGCTTATGGCCAGTCTTCATTGCGTTTATAGTTTTGAAAATAACTTCAATGTTTGGAACGGGTGATAAGGCATTGCTCAGCGTCAATATTTTCGGAAGAGCCGATAAAGCGTATAAAGTTTCAAGTTTGCAGTTTATGCATCAAGATCGCAAATTGCTTTGTACGACTTCGCATCATATATGAGTTTAAGTGTGTTATTACTATCGATAATTGAAACGAATCGAATATTTTATTGTTAACTTGATACACATCCACCCAATCATTTCGCATCGAAATTTTTCATATCTTAAGTGGGTGCAATTATTTCTCCTCTGTTGCTTATCGGCCAGTCCGTGTTTCTGCCATATTTCAGATCAGGGGAAAAATTGGTGCTATCAATAAGTAGTAAGTGTCTGAGAATAGTTAGCTTTGTTGGACTTGGACTTGGAGATATTTATTTTAAGAAATAAAACTTAATTTTCCTAAAAATTTTCTGTCTTCCTTACTACATGCCCTTTATTCATTGATTGCATTTGTAAGTTGGAAAATAACTTTTTCGATTATCATTTTTCCTACAATGTGTACAAAGCAAGGTTGTTAAAAAAGCCCACATCTTTAAAAAGTGCAAACGATTTAAGTTTCAGGAAAGCGTTTTTCATCATCTCTACAAGGACGATACGTTTTTTTATTATTCAATTAGAGAAATATTTTTTAGAAGAAAATATAGCACTGAAGATAGATATTAAAAGATTTCTTTTAGATCCGTGCAGTCGTTTGTCTAAAATTCAAAGTCACGCTTACTTAATATTCCCATTATGATATAATTGCGAAAAGAAAGCAGAAATTCCCTCTCTTTTGTATAAGCTTTGTTCTGGGCATCTGCCAAACAATTCAATCGACTCGTAACTTTGAATTACTACAAATCATAAGTTTTCAATTGGAAAGAAAATATATTTAAAAAAAAATAAATAAAAATAATCCTTTTCTCCAATCGCGAATGTATGCGTATGTGTGCTCATTGTTGGTAGCTATTGGGTAATGTTTCGTTGTGCTTTCATTAGTCTTAATACTACATACGTGCATGTGTTCATACATGAATTGTCAGAACTTTTTTATAATCGACCCACATTTCGTGTTTTTATTATGGTTTGCCGGAGAGCATCATGTTTGCCAAAGGAACACTCAGCGTAGTAGTCGTGGAGTCGCGAGTGAGGTTAGCGTGCAACAAAAACAAAATTATCGCTATACTTTCATCTATTTACTATACATTTATGTACATGTTTGTGTGATATAGTTTTTATACTTTTCTATCGCTTACTTACATTTCTATAACCAAGTAATGGGCGGGAGGCGAACGGGGTAAATTCATATATCGTTTCTCATCTGATAGTCTACAAAGCTTAGTGTCTCCTGCAATAGAGTGTTATCCGCGTTGACTCACTTTTCTTCATCTATGTGCAGCAGCCATTCGTGGGCTATTTTCAAAATTATTGAATTTATTCAAATCACTGAAGCACTGTGATAAGGAGATCGGATTTGGGATAGAATCTCACAGAACAAATTATCTCAAAGAGAGAGAGAGAGAGAGAGAGAGAGAGAGAGAGAGAGAGAGAGAGAGTGATCCGTTCGCACAAAATCTTTTATTATCTATTATCTTCATGGTGGTGCGTTGATCTTGTTATTGACCTTTCCTGCATGAGTTGTGCTATTAGACCGTCGGCTATCATCATGTTGAAATACCGAGCAAATAAGGCCTTTTCACATATGATAGCACTTCTGCCTCTAATGGACAATTCCATTGTATTGTAATTGCGTTTGACAGCCTTTCTTAAACGCGAAGCTATTTAGTTGGACCAACTTACAATACTCTACAACTAGGTAATGTCTTTAAACTGGCTGCCATTGACATTCAGGATTATTGGTTGACCTCTCATCTCATACGTATTTCCGCCTTGAATATGACAATACGCTTACGCTACATAATGTGTCACGAATTGAGCAGCAGTGCTATGCTCCAAATTAACCGGGAAAATTAACGCCTCACTCCTTTGGCACAGAGCTTCAAGAAAATGAAACGTGTTGAACGCTTAGGCCGCACGATGACAGTTTAATATGGAGCTTGTTAAGTGATACTCTAATGCAATTTAATACTCGTAACGCACTCGATCTGCTGTTTGGTACACATTTGGTATTAGTGGTTGTGATTTATTCGGATCATCATCATTGCTAATACTAACAGTTCGAGTCCGCTTTCGTATACGACGAGGTAAGTTTGCATGACTTGCGATAAGCTTTCGATAACTTAGATAAACGCATTGAAATCCGTGTTGAATTCTTTTTTTTCGCTTTATCTATAACATCAATCGGTCAGGGGAGTGATCGTAGCCTGGGAGGTGAATAAGTATAAATGTGCCTTTATCTACCGAGCAAGCACTTTAGCTGCGGCCACACCGCACTAGACGATTGAACCCGACTTGATAAACACACTTCTTCACCAGATGGCCCTGCGGGTAGCCCACTTGCTAACATTGCCATGACTATCTGAAACGTCACCACAGGTCTGGATGAAAATTCGCGTCGGTACTGCTCTCCTTCTAGAATTGCATAAAAATTGATACTTGCGGAGCATTCGCTCCTTTAGCGATTGTTAAAGGAGAGAGAGGAAAAACGGAATCGGATAAAAACAAAATCAACATTAGAGTAAATCATTGTCAACATAATCTATTCTCTTCCCTTCTCCTCTGATGAAATTATTTCTTTTTTTTTTCGCTTCTAATTACAGACTCTTGTCGGGGGGTAATCAATTAAATTAATTGTTGTTATTGGTTAGACGCATTTCAGAAACTGAATTCCAAACATTAATGGTTTAAAAGCGAATGAAACGGAATACTTTGTGCTTGTGTATGTGTAACCGCATCACGTTATTCCTTCCTGATAATCAAGAGTTCTATTATTTCTGCTATATATCGTTGCTCTTCTAGCTACCCTTTCGTATTTTGTATTTTTATATATATATATATTTTTACGATGTTTTTTTTTTTCATTTTTTTTTCATTGTCCTTTCGTAAACGGAATCAAACATCACTTGAAGAAAACTAATTTACAACTGTCAGCTCTATAAACGAATTTTGTGCTTAGTTTTACTTTTTCATTTGTTTTTGTGTGTTTTTCGCTTTTACCCCGGTTTGCTTTAGCACATTTGCGTTTTCCATCTCTTAGCATGAGTGACAGCAACAAGCGGCAGTTGTTCGCTTTTAAAAATGTGTCAATTTCATTATTCTAATATTTGTTTTCGCATTATACATCATATGACGAATACATCTATGTCCATGTAGGCCATGAGGTATACGTAAGACATACACCAATTATTTGGCATAAAATTTGGTCTCACTTGTTTCACCGAAATATCCTTTAAAAACTTGAAGATACCCCAAGAGCTACCTTTGTGGAATATTTTACCGCTGCTCGAAAATAAGTTGCTGCTTATTTGTAAAGATTTGTTGACAAGCAAGGAGGGAAATCGTCTTGGGATTTCATATAAATGGCAAGGGAAAGCTCTTCAAATAAATGTAATCAAAATAAGCGAGAAAGTCAAAATCGCTTTATGTGCATTTGTTCGAGAAACCTTCTGCCGATTTATCTATCCATGTTCATTTACTCTGCATTTTATTTTTGCTTATGGCGATTGTACACAACGCGCTCCACTAGCCGCAAAAACTTGAATAATAAGTCTTCTTACAGTCTTCTCATATATATATATATATATATCGTATGCTGTTTCTTAGATGATGGTTATATAAGATCCATTTAGGGGCTTATATGTTATGGAAGCAGTCAATTAAATAATTACTTAAACACGAGCGGGTACAGACGATAAAAATTAAAATTTTTTTTTGTTGCGTATGTTTTTGTAATGCTTTGCAGTGATAGATGAATGGCATTGATTAAGCTTTTAAAATCTCTACACGTATAGATATCCAGGCGAAGGAGAACTCAAGGTAAAGTTAAGGATTTGATATAAGCGCTCGTCATATTGATCATATACAGCACTGCAAAGCCGTCTATAAAAGACAACAACAATAAACTAAAATAGTACAATAGCTAGTAGAGAAGAGAACCCATAAATATTCATGAAATTATAATAAGAAATGTAACAAAAAAAAAAAAAAAAAAGAAAAGCAAACCAATAACAATAATCACTTATATAACTCAAAATAATATTTAGTGAGTCACTGCACGCATGTCAAATTAAATTATAAACTTACTTACATTATAGCAAGAAATTTAGTAACAACAACAACAACAACAACAACAACAGTAATAATAATAATCATAATAATAAAAATAATAACAAAAACAATAACAACAAATCCAAGAATAATCAAGAACGCGAAAAATAGCTATACATTCGCATTAAAGTGACATAATATTCAGGACATGAAAAGCTCGTTACTTTAATCAAACATGCATAAGCTGTGTAAATAGTAAGTAGCTGAGCAGTTGTGATTATAACCAATAACCAGATGAAAACCACAAGCCAAAATGTTGTTAAAATAAAAACCGAAAACAATGAATAACAACATCAACGTTAACAACAACAACAATAACAACAACAACGATCACAATTAATACAATAACTATTATACAATGTTAAAATGTACGTGTTTATGAATAAATGACCGACCGACTGACCCGACCGATTGACCGTTCATATGCATTAACTTAATCACCCATATCTCGCTGAAAGACCTTAACACTAAAGCCACATTTACCTTGTATTTTAATTATTTAATTATTTATATTATGCGTACTTACATATATATATATATATATTGACCCCGCAATTGCGTGCGCGTGTGTGCGCCGGATCCAGGCTTTAGAACGAATATATTTTTAATTTTTTTCCAAATCTCTTTTTTCTTTCTTTTAATTTTTGTGCAAAACTCGTCAAATAATATTTACGATCTTTGCGTGTACGCGTGTGACATAAAAAGACGACTAAATAAACATTTGAAGTTTAAAAAATAAACATAATAATAATATAATAATAAAAAAACAAAGTTCAAATAAATTGGTTTTAAGAAGTGCTTACGCTAGATTTCTCTTCTCGTTTATATGTTTAATTGAGAAAATCATTTAAAAATTACAAGGAATAGAAAATGAATGCGATAACCACGCCACCGACGAATCAAGAAATTCGTATCGTAATAAACGGGTAAGTTTAAAAATATTATTCCGGTACAATTTCTTTTACTTTATCCTTTAAACTATATATATATATTTATGTTGCCATTTGCGAAATCAAGCAATATTTCGAAAAATATATGTGTGCATGTTCATTTATTATTTCCTTAGATCCTTAGGATCCGCAAGCCAAAGGGCAATTACTATTCCAAGTAACAGTTTCATTCGTTTTCTTCATCACTATTTTCTACACTTCTTTACCTAATCGAATCTTGGTAATAAATTTAAACTAGGCTGGTGGGTTGAAGGGGGGGGGGAAGGGAGTACCGATTGGTTGGATTATTTTTTCTTTTTTACGAACACTTTCCAAAGCGATCGCACGACGCATTTTTAAAACCAATCCTACCATCATGTGACGGTCAGTCACTTATGAGAATCATGACAAGAATTAAACCGTTATATTCTTTCCTCATAGTTTACAACATTCATTCATTTATTCATCCAAACAAACTGCATACAAACGTAAAGTACTGCACAGAGGTTATATGCTCCTTTATTGCGAATTATATAAAAGAAAGCAAGAAAAAAAAAAATCCTACCTTCATAATATAAGAAAAAATGTACTTGATTTTGCAAGTTCCGCATAAACTTTGGTTCACTTCAGTTTCGGTTTCGGCAAAGAAATAATCAAACATGATACTGCGGTTACTGCTCTTAAATATACCGCACGTACTCCATGCACAGTTCCGCAACGCATCTCTCTCCCAAACTTTCGCCTCGACTAAGTCGTTCATATTCAAAATACGGTATTCCCTTCCACGGATCACCATTGCTGCTGTCAGATACTGAAAAAGTTTTAATTTCCAACAAGGAACCAGCTGTTCATTAAAGGTCAAAATTCACCCAAGGATTTTGTGTTTCAATAAATTTTTGTTGATAATACCCTAAAAGTATCGAAGAATGCTCCATTTCTTAGGAGACTTGCAACGGGCTGAACGTGTTCTCTTATCATCGAACCTCAAGTGCATATTTCATAGGTGCTTATCTATGAATCACCGCTTGGGATAAAAGCACATTTTTTCTGGTAAGGGTTAGTTTCGATACCACGAATAATTCGAAACTCACAAGCACTTTCGTTTTCTCTAGTGCTGATTGTTAAGTTGAATTGAAGTAAGAAAAGGATTTTTGAAAATGCATTAATATCAAAGCTTAAATGTGATTCAAAGACACACCGTGGTCCGATTAGGGTTAAATCATGCTTACTTACTTCTTCGCTCGCTGCACGTTCTTCCCTATCTACCTTAGCTTTGTCTTTATAATCCTCTCTTGCCATCATGTACGTCAACTTCGACATCTTGGAATATTCATGCTCCTATATTAATCTAGAATTCCTTATCTGAACAAGAACATCTGGCTTGTTTATGGCATGAGATGCTTATGCGTAGCATAATCTAAAACTACTGTTGTACATCTCTTCCACTCGATCCGTTAGTGTAAAAATTATTTTCTCTTAAAAATCATCAATTCGTTGAAAAACCGGTGCACTTTTACTACGTACAAGATAAACGAAAAACGAATCAAAATGTCAGTCATTTTGACCTTAAAGAAACTTATAAGCAATAATAATTGATAATAATGTTTTGAAAAGATAGAAAATTTATCAGGCCTAATGCACTTATATTATTTTATGTAAATTGAAGCCGTTTCTTTTGCAAGTAGTCTAAGTGTATCTTCAATTTAAAAATACTTTGTAATAAACTTGTAACAGGTAATATTTTCAAACCACTTAAAACTTTACAGCCGATGTAAAGTTTTCCTTATAGTCTAAACTTGTAATATTTCAAATCATTATTATTGTGTTATATTTTTCCTCAAGACTATATAACAAACTGTATATATTGTTGTTGTCCATAAGGTATTTTTTTTTTTTTTTGTAAATACGTTTATATAGCAAGGGGTTATAGCAATGCTACTATTCAATTTAAACTTTTCACATTCTTTTGCAATGCCAGAATAGTTAGTCCTCGTTATCGATTTTTGCTTAGCAATATTAAAAATTGCCAAGTTTTTTGCATATGTGGAGGTTTTTTTAAAAGTGGATCGCTGTATTGTGTGGAAAGGCAAAAATCGTTTCATGAGATGCATTTTCAACAGGGCCTTTTCTTAGGCTAAAGCATGCCGGGGTGTCGAGTACATTGAAAGAAAATGACGAAAAGAATCACTGATGTTATAAACAAAAATGAAATCGCTGCTTAGATAGGCCATAATATAGCGGCAACTAAAGCAAAAGGCAAGATCAGCAAGAGTAAGTTCTAGTGTATTTGGGAGTTGGGCTACATCATCCTAATTTCTTGCAGCATTTCAATTCCGTGCCGCTATTCATGGATCAACCGATTTTTTGATATAATTATACAAATTTGAAAATCTACTCAGATCGTGAGTTCTCCAATGAAAGTAGTGGCTTCTCAAAAGAAGAGTAAAGTCTGGTGAATTTAGCCTTTCCAATGTTTTTGAGGAGTTGTAGTCGTAGTAAAACATTGCATTGCCTCAGCGAGTCGTTGGCATCCTAATGCCAACTTTCGGCCTTGCATTACTTATTGTATTAATAAAGAGCACGAGCTCGAAGAATTCAATGTTCAACTCGCCGATATCGATGTCGATATCCAGGACTGGCTGCTTAAGTTCCGTTTATAATTTGAGCATTTTCTAAAAGTAAAATTTCCTTAATAGTTTGTAAATTTGACACGATACGAGGTGTTTCCTTAATTTACTTTCAATAATGTTGTGAGTTGGAGTACAATTTTTAAAATAATCCAAGTATTTAGTTTCACATTGATAGCATGATAGGGTATTCATTTTAACCGAGAATAAATTTTTGTCAAAACTCAGCGCAACTGAAAATAATTTTTCTTTCTGCTCGCTGCTTTTTTTTTTTTTTCTTTAATAATTTTATGCAATACGTTAGCACACATATGTCAAAAGCACGTTATATAATACTTATATGCTTTGTGTTTGTAAGCACTTGCATAGATAGACTATTTCGACGATGAGAAAGTGTGCAGAGTGCTACGGAAATGTTTTACATATCGTTCGATAAATGATAAAATTAACTGGCGAGTAGTATTTAGTCGATCTGTATATAGGAAGGAGAGGCGATTCCAAAATAGGTAAGAGTGTGCAAGACTATGCATATTGAAATTCTTCATCATGGGGAGAAAAAAAGGAAATTATTTAGCCAGTGTTATTTTTAGGAAAAAGAAACCAAAACACTAGCCGTATGTAGTGTTTTAGCTTCTGATTGAATCTTAGATGTCGGTTCTGTCGGTGTCGGTGTAAGTAACGCAATTTGCCTAAAGTTAAGGCGAGAACTTTCGCACTTGTACGGCCTGACATTTAAACTCGGTCCGAAGCCGGTCCCCATTACAAAATAATATCAAAAACTTTCATTTGATCGAAAACAGAATAGACGGAGAATCTCGTGCAAAAAGTGCATAATACTGTAGTCAGACAGACAGTCAGACTTTCGTAGTTAAATCGTGCGCGGTCATTTAAACGAGTTGCTCCTCTGTATTGTCTTTCTTACCTGCTTATAATAATTCATTGAGATATACGGACGTGATCAATTATCATGCTTCAGTCTACTATGCCGCTCGATTCGATATAAACACACGACCAAAGTACTTATACATGTGAGTTTTAATGTTTGGTGAAAAAAATGCTTCAAATAGTTAAAAAATATTATCTTTTGATTATAGTGACTATAACAGATGGGTGTATGGTGGGTGTATGCTCTTCGACTTACGGTAATTTTTCCTAAATTCACAAATGAAAATTCAATTTTTCATTTTTACAAGAGCAAAACATATCGAGGCTATAAAAAATTATTAAAACATTTATTCTCGAAAATTATGCTAAGGGTGATTGATGGTTGGTTGGTTGGTTGTTGGTTTAATGCTGCTATAGTTTTGCGTTCAGGTTGCTTTATAAATTCATGAACGTCAAATCATTTTCTTCTTTAACAAAATTAATGCATTTTTTTTTTTTTTTTTGTTTTGTTTTTTGTATTCTATCCCTCGCTCTCTCCGTCATTTACAGGCATGTTCGCGTGCTATATGTGATTTTTTTTTATACTTTTCCGAATAGTTTTTCCTTTAATTGCATTTATATCTACCAGCAGAAGGATGGCCGGATATTAGATTTGTTGTTCGGTTTGTAATATCGAGACATATTGGTCGTGTGATCGACCGATACGAGTCCAAATCCGGTTTGTTTATCATATTGGAAGGCATTCGCGATATGAAGCTAAAATTCACAACATATGCACTTAGATATCGGCTATAAATCTATCAGGTGACACACACTCACTATTAATAACGAGTTTTACATCTTTTATAACTTTGTGACTCTGTTGATATGAAAAACTGTTGTTGTTGTCTTACTCAGAAAATTAATGTATACAGATGTGCAGTGTATAAGCTGAGTAAAAAATCGTAGGACAAAATCAAATTTTAGTGTTGCGCTGCGTAAATGTGCGAGTTTACTTAAAAAGTGCAAAATCGTACTAAAATGGATTTTCGTGCACTGTAATGTAATTTTTCGCCCATCTTTGCCGTAAAATACCAAACTTCCTTCTTCTAAAGGCATATCTTGCATTTGAATTTCCTATTCTTCTCGACGTTGAATTTATAGCCAGCTATACATGCTCCAGCTAACTTGCTCCTATATTCCCCCCAAATGCGGATATCTCTACTTACTCTAGTTGAAGTATTCTGCCCTCATTTGGGACGTGGCCGAAAAGCCTACGCCTACTGATACGCTCATAGGGTGCCGCAAATCAATGGCTGCTACAATGACAATTTCGGCTGCATGGACCCAGCTTCATTGTGGTTTCTTTAAATGAATTATTTGATCGTAATTTACTTCAGTGAAACCGTAATGTAACCGCAATTGTACTGGCCGACTGCTAGATCGTTGCCTTGTCAATCTGTTTTCCAATTTTTACTTTACCTGAGGATTCGTATCATTCAGCAA